TGCGTCAGCTTAGCCATTTCAGAACCTCTCCTAAAGTCACCCCAGTATTTGCAGCAACTGTCCAAAACACCAAAGTTCTTTTTTGACTCAACCACTAGCACACCGTGTTTGGCTAATCAAGACCTTATTGAACTAATTAATTGAGTGACTGATTGATTGATTGATTGAGTTGGTGGTGAATTTGAACGAATGCAAGGGAGTGGCTTGGGTGGCCCAGAGGAGAGGTTTGGGACCTTTAGCCGTGTTCATCTAGCCATCCAACAAGATATCAGTAACTTTTTGGAGAACAGAAGGAATTCCTGATAGTTTTTATTATGTTATTCTTAATTTACATATCTTCTAATGTTAAATTTAGTTTTTTTTTCCTGCACAAAAATGCACTTACTACCCAGTACAGTGTTGTGCATTTACATATTTGTATTTAGCAGATCCTTTTAGTGACATCCAGCATCCCTGGAGCAATTAGAGCTAAGGGCCTCGCTCATGGGTCTAACACTGATGATGTGATTATTCTGTTGGCCATGGGCCTCGAACCTATGCCCTTGTAAGCATGGGTTACCCACTGCCCCCTCCTGTGCACTGTGCGTCTTTAAATACAGCTCTTGATTTGACTCTTCTTCATTCGTAAATTGGGCGGATGTCGTCATCAGGAAATAGATTTCCCAAATGAAAGGATCAAGCTGTCGGACGCGACGCCCACCGAGCTGAAGGACCTGCCAAAAAGGATCCCCAAAGATTCCGCCCGCTATCACTTTTTCCTGTACAAGCACAGCCACGCTGGCAGCTACCTGGAATCCACAGGTGAGGACGCTTTTCAGGAAGCCAACTGGTGTGTTCGGCCCAGTCCGGGGAGCCTTTGGATTCCTGATTGGCAGACTGCACCTGCTTCTGCCAAAACTCCTGTTAGAACAATCAGGCCGACTCATCTGGAGTTTGCAGCCCTGCTCTGGACAGACTCCATCTGGGGAGAACAAGCCCCCCCATTCTTACATTCTCAGGCTGGTGCGATGGGTACCCTGACAGTGGCTGTATTGAGTAATTGAGTTTCATTCCGGTTTGCAGACACTGAGTGACTGTGTTTGTGTCCGTGTTTCAATCTGCGCAGTGTTCATCTACTCTATGCCTGGTTATACGTGCAGCGTCAGAGAGAGGATGCTCTACTCCAGCTGTAAAAGTCCCCTTCTCGACACAGTGGAAAAAAATCTTAATATCCAAATAGCGAAAAAGGTAAATAACGGCGTTCATCATATATATATAAACATGGTGCGGTGTTTTACTGTGATTTTATTGTAAATAAATGATTGATGAATGTGACTGGAACTGTGACATTCATTCTTTCTGACCTTCCCGGGCTCCGGTGCCGCTCCTGCCATTTCTGGGCCCTATCAGCTGGAGGTCAGCACTGGCGATGAACTGACTGGCGACTTCCTGTATGAGGCGCTGCACCCCAAGCAGAATGCACACAGACAGAACTTGGCCAAGCCTAGGGGCCCTACTGGGACGGGTGGGGTGTCCAGAATGGTGCCCCCCCCAGGGAGAAGCAACACAAAGGACTAAAGATACCCCCCCCCCCCAATACGGTGACACCAATGCCTTTAACCCTCTCAATAACCCCAATTTTGTCCCATTTACTAGCAAAAATATGTTTTTGTGATATTTTAAAACTAAAATTGATTTGCTTTTTAAATAAAAAAATAACAAGAAGCTGATTTGTAGATTTGAACATTATATGGGAAATCAGGGAGGAAGAAAGGCTGAAGAGCAGTTTATTCAATAAACTGGATTTGTGCTCATAAATAGGATTTGAGCTCATTTTAACGCCCTACATTTTTGCTGACCAGTGTCTTTCATTTTAGTTTCTGGCATATTTTTGCAGGTCTCTTGATATACTGTTTAAACAATTGGTCATAGATTGCTGTAGGTGCTCTGTCAGTACTGTAGTTCCTAGTTCCCAGGCACTGGTACTGGCGAGATAAGTGATTCTGTTCATAGTTATTCAAAAAGGGAAAACCACTTACCTAGACATCTTTTTGATGTTTATTTGTTTTAAGACAGTTATGTTGCAGTGTTGTCTTTTCTATATATTCCTTGTTTAAAAGGCAAAAAATAAATTTCATTTTAACATTGCTAAGTAAGTGTAATGTGTTACTCATTCAGTACTAATGCACTCAATTCCCACAATTCATTCGCCCCTTCTCGCCCTTGCTGTTGTGCTCTATTTTGGGAGCTTAAAGGGTTAATTGGTGCCATTTAAACCGTGGCAGAGAATTCAAGACTATATTGCTTTGTACTTTGCTGCTAATGGAACTATAATTAGTCTAATCTTAATTTACGCTAATTAGGCCAATGCAGTGACCCTTTTTTCACTTTATCTTAATAAGGAATAATAGGTTTTCTTTTAGCACTGTGGAACCAGGGAAAGAGAATAGAAAGACCCCGCTGGGGTGCAGTTTTTTTGTGTGGAAGGTTTTCGCTGTCGGCCCGACTGCTGAGAGTTTAAACTGCATTCCCAACCCCAGTGGCTTCAGTGAATCAAACAGCAGGAGTCCGTAAGTGGTTTTCAGATGAAGGCATCACCTTAACGGCCAGATGGCCCCAGAGCATCAGCATTTCCCTGGAACTGGCCGCTCTTCGGCGCGAGATCTCGCCGCCCGGGGCTGTCAGTAACGGGTTTATTTCTTGGGCTGGGGTCGGGAGCCGTGTCAGGTCCCGGCGGCGGCTGGGATTCACGCTGCGGCAGTCGCCGTCCGGATTCCGTTGGGATTTTTTCAATGCCGCGAACGAGGAAGTGGGGGAGATGCGGCAGGCGGAAGAGCACATGGAACCGCAGGTGCAGGCCGGAGCAGGTGGCGCCACTCAGACATGACAGGCGCGACGTGGAACCCTGGGCACCGTGCCCTGCTCCCCGCTGGGCATAGATTGGCATCGGCGGGGGCTTCTGTGCTGGGTGACAGGTACTGCTGCTAAGTCCTTCTATCACCTCCCAGATGATGCAGCTAATTAACCCGACAACAGAGCATGGTAGCCGCCATTTACATTAACGCCATTACATATCACAGCTCCGGAAAATGGAAGATGCTGATAATGTTGGCGTGTGGCTTTTCACATTGAGCCTCTGCGCCTCTGATCGGAATGGTGTTGGTTCGAATCTAGTCCTTGGTCGACTAGTCACATGTCTGCTGGGCCCTTGAGCGAGGCCCTTAACCCCCCGCCCCACCAGAAATGATAAATGGCTGACCCTGTGCCTTGACCTCATGTTCAACTGTGTGTGTATATGCCTCAGAAGAGAGCATGATGGGATATGTGAAAAGAAACATTTCACCTGGCTCAGGGCAGCTGTGGGCCATATGTGCGTTTCGCGGATCAGTGTGTCTTACCTGCAAGGCTGTCGTTGGCATGTTTGTGCTGAGGCCTAACAGGCTTGCTTCCGCCGTAGGTCCCCGAATGCCCTTCTCTCTCTCCGAGGCCTGCTCCTGTCTGCATATCATCCTCGTGACAGGCGGCTATGCTGTCTTCTGTATTCTAGGTTTCACGTGCTCCTTTGAGTCCTGCGGCCTGATTATTCACGGCTCCCTACCCTTTACAAATCAATAAAAGGCTATGTTTGTCCCGTGTGGTCAGATTTCACTGAAAACGGAACCTCTGGTTAAATATAGAGGCTTTTGTGTGAGCCTGTGCATATTGAATAATGCAAAGGTGTGGCTGATAATAAGGGTTTTTTTTTTTTGTAATAAACGATTACTTAACTGTGTTAGCATCTTGTGCATGCTTTGGCACGCCTGTGGTGAGTGTTTCTTGTATAGGACTGGAACTAATTTATCATTCTCTCTCTATTACGAATTCCCTGTTTATTTTCTTGCCTGCTAGCGGTTGCTAAGTTGAAGGTTGTGTCATGGCTACGTGTTCATGTGTGTTGTGTCCCATCCAGGGCAGGTTCGCGTTGTTTTTCTTCATTCATATCCTGTGGTCATTTTTCAGGGCTTTGCTCTGGTTTCCCAGTAATCTGTATATAGCTTTTAAGCACCAAAGACATATGGAATGTTTTAGAAACGGCGAACATGTCTGTGAACATACCTCAGAACCTCTATTTATTTAGTATGAAGCGACGTAATTGAAACCATTAAGAGATTTGCCTCAGGGGTGAGTCCGGACCCCCCTGTGCGCTGGTGCCACAGGAGAGGGAGACGTCTGGGGCTTTGTTCTGGTTCTCTGACCCCCCCCCCCCACCCCCCCCCAATCCCAGTTCGGTTAATGAAAAACACCAGTGGTCATGTGTGGCTGATGTCAGCCTGAGTAGATGTGAGGCTGCGTCCTTTGAAGAAATAAGATTGACGTAAGATATTTGAACCTAGTGTTGTTGCTGAGGTGGGTACCTGCGTAGTGGGGCAGTACTTAAATAAGCCAGTCACACAATCCCCACAATGAATACATGAACGGGACACCCATCAAACACACACATGTTGGAACTGGTTTTGCAGGCTCCTCTATGTGGTTTCTAGAGTGAGGGGGGGGGGGGGACAGGGTCACCCCAGGAGGAGTGGTTGGGTCTGTACATATTTAGGGTCACAATCTTCTCCTGTGAGGCAAGTTTAGGGTCTTGAAAAGCACGTT